AAACCAACCACAGATCTTCTCCAATCCGTGACAGCGCATGAATAGCTTTCCCAAATGCTGCAATATCACAAGACACCACCAGGGTTAAACGCTAGGTGTACTGTGTATTGTACGTTTTAAATTATTGTAATAAATATTGAAATAAGATGCTTAGAATGTACAGTATAAGATGCATTTGCGTCCAGGGGAAAGAATTGGCCAGATATAATTATCTGAGCTGTATTTCGTTTCTAATTTGGCTATTCCAAAAATGATTAACACAATTCTACAAACATACAGGTCTCTACATTATTGACACATTTCCTAGTTCTACGAATAATTATGGACATTTAGGAATTTAGGAACACCGAATTAATTTTTTACTCTTTTTAGACATGAGCAATGTTTGTAAGATAATATAACGTCTTTATGAATTTGATATAAATGCAATGAAAATGAAAACCAGATACCTGCTAGGGCTTAATACCCATAACTGTATAACAATTCGTAACACATTTAAAAAGCAACACTGAGCTTGGGAACTCAAAACCAATATCACTTCGAATCAATAAATAATTAAATAAACAAACAAGTATGCAAATAAATTGGTAAATAAATGTTCAACGAGTTTATAAACTCGCGGTTAGCTACGATTGCTAACCAATTACTAAGGTAACGTATCAGCCTTAAAACCTGTTATTTAAAGCAAAAATAAGATACAATATGTTACAAAGTTAGCAAATTAAGTAATTTAAAAATACCCTGTAGATGACAAAACAAAATGTTACTATTAACGAATAATTAAATATATATTTTATTACCTTTTACGCAGTTTACTTCCAGGACACAGTTCATACTTGCTGTAGGTTCAAGTTCAAAGATTTGTTTTAAAAAAAAAGTAAGAAAGAATTAAAGAAAGAAAACAAGGGTAAAAATAACTTTTAAGCTAAGTTAAAAAGCTTAAAAGACAAACGTTGGTATCACAGTAGGTTATCGCTAATTTTGTTTTACTCTGTTACAAATGAGATGTGTCAGACAAATAAGGTGTTAAATGGTGTTTTACAGACGTTACAGATGCCATACATGTGCCATACATGTCTGTTATGTAACCTTCACTGTATTTCTTGATCAAAACACTATATTTATAAAAAATCTTATCAGATTTATATAAGGATACATATTAATATTTTCCAATACATACTTAAAACATACTTTAAAAAGTGGACAGTTCTGTTGAAAAGAAATCAGCATTTTGGAACAATTTTACCTACATAGGATTTCAAATAAAAAGGAGATTTTATATCATATCATCATATATATCATACTGGGAGATTTAGCAACAACAAACAGTAGCAGATAAGATAAAGAAAAAGGGATTAGCAGATATGCCTGCCATAAAGCTCTTAGAACATTCAGGAGGAACTTGCTGTCACATCCCTCTCCTGGTAACTATTTTTGGAAGTATGACATCAGACTGAGCTACACTGCTGCTGCTGCCTTTCCTCTGTCCTCGTGGCTTTGTCCTTGCTTGCACATCCTTCTCTACGTCCTCTGTGATCCTGCTTTTTTGTCCATACTGATGCCTCCATCTGCAGGTGGATTTCTGACCTAGGGAATCACACAAACGGACCATAATGACAGTGAAGAGGAGTCAGAGGTATTATTACAGTTAGACACACTGTTGGTGCACAGTACCTGACTGCAGGCATGTGTGCAGCACATTGAGATAGTGCTGCTTCATCTGTCTTCTCATGTGCTCTGTGCTGTAGACATTAGTTATGCTGTAAAGGTATCGCCTCTGCCCAGCTGTGAGGGCAGGGTGCTGAGCCACACACACAAGGTGGCATTATTGCACAAAATACAGAATCAAACAGTAACATTATTGTACAAGAAAAGCATTACACGGAGTTGCAGAGGAAAGACTATTGTAGTTTAGCATGGTCACCTGTAAAAAGGGGGCAGACATCATGGATTTGGGAATGTGTATTGTCCTTAAGTGCTGGCTTTCAGTGGGTACATTTATCTTCCTCAGTTGCTGACCTAGAAAATTCTCTAATTTGAGATATGAATTGTAGATTCAATAGAATGTGCAGTTCTTAATTGAAAGCGTTTGACTTACCATCCGTGTACCTTTTATTAGACTCCAAAGATCTAGGGATTAAAAGTGGTTACAAACTGAAAAAAAGTACAAATGCACTCCCCTCCCCAGTTTGAATCAAGTAATATGTATCCTCTTACCTCATTAAAATGTGACCACTTCCTTCTTTTAAGAGGTTTTCATTTTTCAGGTGCTCAACAAATGTGACTCGCTTTCTCATTGTTACCTACTACCACAGTATCTGCAGTGGTTATGTTAGATGTCTCTTGCACCTTGATGGGCTCAGTGTGTGTGTGTGTGTGCAGCAAACAGAGCCCATTAGTGTGAAGTGAAGCCAGCAGTGACACCTGACTCTGCTCCCAGGGCTCCAATTACAGAGCAGGGGTCGGATCTACCTGAAGACATAATGTGTTCTCATCAAAAATGTAGAGCACAATCACAATTACAAGCCACTCTGTTTACACACTTTATTGAGCATCATGTCCAATATACATTGCATTGACACTGAATGGAAAAACAGACAAACAAATAAACCCCAAAACAAATAATGGCTAACAAAGATAAACCTGGATACACCGTTTTCAGAGCGTATTGTTTAATGTAATTTCAAACGCACCGAATCTGTGCAAATACAGTGAACACCGGTCAGAGGGGGTCATGGTAGGTTAGAAAAATCAGAATAATAAAAAACCAATGTCAACAGCAGTTATGTGATTATCAAATTGTCATATTGAAAAACACAATAGACACATTTCAGAAGAATGTGGGGTCTGCCATAAATAGTATATATATCAATATTCTCTGCATTCACACCTCTAGGACCACTATTTCTGGTCAAGCTGATGAATCTGTTTACCACCATCTAAGGAAGATTCATAAGCTGGAGGACAAACAACAAATATGTGGAACTCTTCCTGAAACTGTGTGGAACCAAAACTGAACTCCTTTGACACAACGACGGATGGCAAAGAGTTATATGACAACCTTAAAACAGCAAGAGATGCTATGAGGAAAAGCTCCCAACACTGAAGTATTAGAGCTTAAATATTCACATCAGAGTTGTTCTTTAAACGGCAACATACTGAATTTCACAACATGGGTCGCCAGTTCACAAATGTAAAAAGAACAAGATTGCCCAAACTTCTAAGGTTGGATCTTTACCAACAGCACCAGTGTTGTGAGGCAAACAGCTGGTTCAGATGACAAGGTTTTGGCCATTGACTGCATACAACCATCAACAACTGTGCTTGGTCACTTATGCTCCTTAAAGGAATATTGCAAAGTTCAACAATATTGCATATTTTCTCAAATACCATGCAGCCTAACATATTACATCCACCCTCTGGGGACAATACATACCAGCTGCATCAATCCAATTCATGCGTCAAAAACTAATATTTATGTCTAAATGTCAATGTGTGGATGTTCAAGCCAGTGGATTCCAGACTCTGCCACAGACATTTAATGGGATTGTTTTCTGGAAGGTAAAATAATTTTCACTTTCCAGCATGCATCTTCAAAAAAAATTTACAGGTCCATAGACCATTTATTTGAAACAATAAATCTACAAACCTATGTTTAAAGTGTACTTGTAGAAGGGTCTGGTTTCCATAGTTACTCTATGAATACAATTTGTAATAACAATTACTCTCTGGAAAAGTCCATGGTATGGGTGTCAAATTTCAGAGATTCTGCAATTTGAACATGTCAGCATTTTACAATTGTTAACTGAGAGAATGACCGCCAGTGACAATGAACAGGAGTAGATACAGTTTGTAATTAACAGCTGTATCATTTATGAGTAGTCTGGCAGCAGACAAATGTTGCATCTGAGGTATTCCCATAATAGTGTAGTGCTTTATTTGCCATTTTTTGAAAAACAAGAACATAGTTTACAAAGTTTTTGCAATGAAGAAGAAAAAAAAGCAATGAAAATCATAACATTCTAGTCAAACTCTTAAGGAAGTGCAGGGTGGAGTAAAACACAGCCTAATTTCTATGTCCATTTCCGATGCAATGTACAACAGTGTTGCCAGCTGTACATTAGTTATCATTTGGTTCAATACTTTCGCCCTCTGTACAATTAATTATTTACCATAATGTATTATACATTGTTAAAATTCACAATTAAGTTCATTTATTAACACACCAGGATAAGGATCCCTCACGTAATTATTGCGCTCATTTTCACACACTGCCTCCACCGGCTCCTTACAGCCAGTTATACAAGATCTCATGGTGCAAATGACATAAAATATGAGCGCACTGCACGTGTTGTGGGTAAAACCACATTATAACATTTATATTTAATATGCAAAGTCTATAGTGCGTTACCAGAGCAGATTGTCCTCAGCCTAGTCAGAAGGAGAATGATGCATACAATAATTCTCCTCAAAATATTATTACATTTAGGGTGCTGGTACAATATTCCACAGCTGGCAACACTGGACTTCGACCAAATTCGAGATGTTTTCCACATTTAAGAGCATAACCTTAACAGCAAATTTACCAAAAGTCCATATAATTCTAAACTCATAAGTGTGTGTGAAACTTCAAAATGTACCCAAACGTATAAAACAAAAACTAATAACTTAATCTAAGCCTTAACTCTACCATGGAGACCCTAACATGACAGACTTAAACACATCAACCTCATCAAATTAGTTTGTTCTCGGAAACAGAGGTAAGGTCAGAAAGCACTTCACCAGTACACACCTGAAGTAATCACAGCTTGAGTTATTTTCACAGATTGGTTCAGGTTGCCCATGATTTGTAATTGTGACCAGAAAATTAGCAATACACATCTTCATCAACAAAAGGTGCCGTAGGGTTTGTGTGTGTTAGGAGTCAGAGAATATTAGGGTTGGTTTCATTGATGGCTAATCTAGATCCTCTTTAAGGTTTAACCTGAGAAGTTGGCACAACATCCTGGTTGATAGAATTAGCTCTGTTCTTGAAAGTGTAAAGAATCAATGATTCTGGAATCACTTCACAAGTGACAAGAAGGGACACGAGCTCTGATCCTTTAGAGGTCTTCCTCACATTCATTTTCATAACTAGAAACGCAAACAGTAGGCTGTTTCTCAAACTAGGAAACAAAAAAACAAGCAAACTTCCAAACCAACACCAATTTTCATCTTGCCATTCTTAACTAACAAGGTGTGGAAAAGTGAAGCCCACAAAAAGGAACGGTGACTCACTGACTGTGTTGACTAGAGAAAACATATTTTACATGACAAAATGATGGGGGCTGACATGAACCAGGAGGATGGCTGATGACCCAATGGCCAAACGGGTGTTTTGTTTTGTTTTACACAACCTTGACCATTAATTGCATAAGAAACCTGGTATAAAGTAGAAACTGTTCAGCAGCAGATAAAAAAGCAAGTTAATTTACAGTAGTGACATATTTTACATCTTATTTTGTTTTGGAAAATAAATAAAATTAAATATACAGTTCCAGGTAGGAAACAGGTAAATTTCGCTGGTAGGTTTTTCTTCAAATTGGCTCATTTTGCGGAAATCGACAACCGTTCGAAATGACGTGGTCGATGTCGACCACTTCCTGTGACTGGCAAAACATGGGGTGCAAAAGCCTTTTGCTGAAATTTTCCGTCTGAAGGTATCCTTTAACTGAAATTTGGAGGAGGAAAAAAAAAAAAAAAAAAAAAAAAATCAGTCAATGCCATATCTCTAATGATCATGGTTTTAAATGTAAATCCTTGCAGTTTTACTTACCCTGGAATTTACAACTGAGTCTAATCAAATGCCATCTCTTGACTTTTTCTTACACAGCGAGCAACCTTCCTCTTAAATTCCCCGTTTGGATCCTCTCTCCACTCTTTCTGTTGGGAAAATAACCCGAGGATAGTTCAGTGAAACCTCTGATGTCTGAGAGTTGACTCAAAAGAGTGTGTGTATATTTTCATGTTGGAAATGGTTGCAGTTGTACTTACAGCAGCGTCCACATTAGCGGGCGAATCACTGTTGGGGTCTGCAAGCATTGAGATGACACTAATCATGATTGTCTCTACTGTGTGGATTGGAAGCCAGCGCTCCTCCGGCTTTTCATAACCAAACTTATCTTCTCCTGGTTCGTGGAGAATTGAAATACAAACATCCCCGTTCTTTGCCACTGTGGAGAATTAAAAGATGAATGTTACAAACAATACAACAAGAAAATGACCTTTACTAAAACAAGGGGCGGGGAGTAGCTGCAAGACCGGAGCCAGTATCTATCTAGCGGTGCATATCATGCATTATCATTATTTTATGTCCATTTCCATTGCAATGATGATAAGCCCACGACAGCCTTTTCTAAAGAAATAGGACTATACAAACACTGTGGGCAGAGCTTTTACTCATATAGAGGACATCTAAACCCTTGACATAGCATAAATACTTAAAGAAAGACACTATATGCAACCATATTCTTCTCTAAATGGTTCCTGTCACTGAAGAGGTCGTAATAGTGAAAACTGTGAAAAAAGTGTTGAAAGCCTTCTAAGATCTACAGACAAGTAAATAGCATATCACTTTTTACATTAAAAAAAGATCCAGATAAAGATGTTCACCATTTGGATGCCAGATTTCAGTGATGAACTTCATCTTTGGAGGTCGCAGTGGATAATCATAGGGAAAGGTAAGGTATGCTTTGAAAAACCCTCCTTCACTGCAACAGAAACAAAGAACCCAGATAAGACATTGAGAAATAGAAATATTTAATTATTAATACCTAAATTCCTTCCACTTACAAAAGAGTGTCTTGAGGACCGATGATCACGACTTCCCATTTGTATATGTCATCATCATCGATCAAGCCAGCTGAAAAGCCCTCCACAGGATTTTTGTTGAGCTCTGGGAAAAGACAAAAAAATACTTTTTTGTGCTCATCTTCAAAAACCATCTTGGGGGCTGAGGCAGAAAAAAAGCTAAAAGGCAGGGGACAGTCTCCACACACACAGCGCCAGCCTCAGCATGCAAGACCTGGAAGTGGTAACTGCTGCAGCACTTCATCAGGATGGAGCACAGTATATTAAAAATAAAATACAAATAAGAAAATTAACTAGATGATACTGACTTTTACTTCAAAAAAACTCTCCATGTGTTAAAGAAAAGTTAGGTACATTTACATGTTGTTTTAAAGCAGCATTTAGGTATTTATCTGTGACAACAAACATGCCAGCAGAGGGTGAATTGGGAGAAAGATGTTTTTCAGAAACAGCACTGCAAACAGATGGGCTGTATGAATGTCTACATACAAAGATAATCAAAAGTTGAGCAAATAACAGCAAAAATGAATAACACTGTGAACCAGACCACATAGAAAAAAAGAAGATACAAGTTAGTTAGCAACTTCCAAATGTATCATACTACAGCAGGGTGGGACTTGGGTCACAATGACAACAGTGTGCTTAACATAGGGCTTTAATTAACTATTCTATGGAGTTGTAACACCTGCAACAATGTTTTTTTTTATTTATGCCCCATTTCAACATCAACATTCTTAACCCTCCTCTCACAAAACTACGACTTTGAATTTAAAAAATAAAATAAAAATTAATTTCAACTACTACATCTTGGTTTCTGATTTAGTATTTGAACATCCCAATCACCTTGTAAAAGCATGGGGAAATGTAAAAAAGTTTTTTAATTAACACTTTGCTTAATATAACACTTTGGGCCTGTGTCCTTATCCTGCATATTGTGCCTGCAATGCAGTGCTCTAACATTTTAAATATAAAACGTATGAAATGTGATATAAGCTGGTAAGTTGTTAGTTAAAAATATACACACAACACAAAGTTTATTGAATAAGTTTGTGTGCTTAACAAACTACACTTACCTTAACATCACATGATTATCTTAAGAGATAACATTAAAAAAACAATAAATGCAATTTGTCAATTTTATTTGTACTAATTGCCTGGTGACGACGAATACTATGGCTCAGTTAATCGACCGATCGATTAATAGGTTTCCACTAAAAGCCTTAAAAAATCTATCAGTCCGGACAAATTTTTCACATTACATATTTCTATGAAACGGATTACGGTAATAATTATTCGATAATCAATTATTACTGTAAAAAGAACGACAATATAAGGGTATTTATTTTATTAGCAGTGCTAGGCAGAATGGATTGATTATTCCTTTGTTCAATCTGCTCATTCCTACTCAGTCCTACTCGTTAGCCTGTTAGCATTGTTGGCGCTGTGCATCATTACTTAGGTCCAACAGATTGTTATTAAGGCTGTTTTCACCATTATTGAAAATATTTTAAGATTGAGTAACCAACAAGTAATTTAACACAGTAACTGTGGTTAGAAATGCACAGCCCTGTTAGCTCTCCTAACCTCTCTGCTGTGCGATGCTAAAATGAAGCTAACGCTAACTAGCTGGCTAGCCATTATTAACAGAATGTTTGCTCACAACCTTGATTTCATGTTTATTTACCTGCCAGTTGCTTTCGAAGAAGTAGCGCTGATTGTTCGGTCATGGTACGAGGACGTGATTGGATAGCACTAACTGTCGACAAACACAATCAGAGAAAAACAGCGAATTGAAGTTAAGCTGAATTCGCAAAGAGAGGCAGCGCGGCACTATCTGTTACTGCTGCTTCTGTTTCCCACAGTGTTTTGACACTAGGTTCAGCTGCTGCTTTAACCATGTGCGCATGTGCGTTTGCAGTATGTATTCTTGTGATCTTGTGTGTTTTGTGGATGTGAACAGTAAGAAGTTTGGAACTCTGAAGAAGTTTGGAACTCTGAATATAGGTACAATTACAGGGAAAAGTAGAGAACTGGCTGATATGATGGAGAGGAGAAGAAGAATAGACATTTTGTAGCAGGAGACCAGGTGGAAGGGCAGCAAGGCTAGAAACATTGGAAACAAACTGTTTCATCATGGTTCAGATGGGAAGAGAAATGGAGTAGGGCTGATCCTAAAGGAAGAATATGTAAGAAATGTGGTGGAGGAGAAACAAGAGTCAGACAGGTTGATGTGTGTGAAGGTAGACATAGAAGGAGTGATGATAAATGCTGTTAGTGGTTATGCCCCACATGTGGGCTGGGATTTGGAAGAAAAGGAGAAGTTCTGGAATGAGCTGGATTGGATGGGAGAGAGTATCCCCAGGGGAGAGAGAGTGGTGATTGGAGCAGACCTAAATGGTCATGTAGGGGAAGGGAACAGAGGTGATGAGGAAGTGATAGGTTTGGTGTGAGGGAGAGAAACTTAGAAGGACAGGCAGTGGTAGATTTCACGAAGAGAATGGAAATGGCTGTGGTAAACACCTATTTCCAAAAGAAAGAGGAGCACAGGGTGACGTACAAGAGTGGAGGCAGGTCCACACAGATAGATTATATTCTATGTAGAAGATGTAATCTGAGGGGGATTAGAGACAGTAAGGTGGTGGCAGGCGAGAGTGTAGCCAAACAACATGTGATGGTAGTGTGCAAAATGATGATGGAGGTGACAAAAAGACAGAGAGAAGATCAAGAAATTGGAAATTAAGGAGAGAGAAATGTTGTGGAGACTTCAGGAAGGAAGTAGGGGCAGTTATGAGTTGTGTTGAGAAACTCCTAGATGATTGGGAGACTACAGCTGCAGTGATTAGGGAGACAGGTAGGAAGGTGCTAGGTATGTCCTCTGGGCAGAGAAAGGAGGACAAAGAGACCTGGTGGTGGAATGATGAAATCCAGGAGAGTGTGCAGAGAAAGAGATTAGCAAAGAAGAGAAATCAAGCTGGGA